ATTCCTTGTTACCAGCTGTTTCTTTTGCTAGTCTGTCTCCCTTTCTCCTGAAAAAAACCCACTTTATTTATGATTTCTCTTCCTATTAAAAAAAGGGAGAAATTTTGTATTTACAGAAATTAATCATTTGTTACCTTCTTTTTTTTTTTTTTTTAGGTTTTGTCAGAGAGAGGACCAGATTCTGGACTAGTCAAAAACTGGCCAGTGATAGGTCAGTTCTCAAGCATTGGCTCTTTAGGACCCAACAAGGAGGCTTGGCTTTTGAATGAGTGGGGTCAGTCTATCTCAGTATGTAAGAGTGAACAAAATGGAACTTTATTGCCGTCAAAACTAAATCTTGTAAGTAAACTCTGTCAATAGCATCTTCAAAACTTAAATTTGTTTTAACTATAAAAAACAAAAACATATTTTTCTTTTGAAATAGTTACATTATTCTTGCATTTTTTAAAAAATTTAATGAATATATTTTTATCTCTAAACCTTTCTTACTGATGGGATATACATCTTAATGTATTAAATATTTACTAAACAGTAACAGTTTGTTTAAAATAAATACTGAAACTCATCAATAGATTACAACAAAAAAAAAAAAAAAAAACTTTTTGCTTTATATCTACTTTGCTTTAAGTTGATAGATTTTAATTTGTTTGCTTAATTAGTTTTCACTTTTAAAGCATTCATTCTGAATGTTTTCAGATATTTCCTTCACTAGACAACATCCGGCTTAGTCTGGAAGGCTACAACGGTGGTGGTTGTGTACCTTACAGCATTAAGACTGCCTCCAAACAGCCGTGGCTTGTACAGTTTTTCAGGTACATGATAAACAGACTTTTCACTATTTTTTCTTATCTTTTCTTATATAATACAGACGTTACTTCAAAAAAGAAGATAATTACGTCCTACGCATCATGCATTCAGTCATGCCTATGGAAGAGGATGGAATTACCCCCTGAAATTGTTTTTTAATTTGCTAAAAGCTTTGCTTGTGAATATAATTATTAATTAATTGAAGTTAGGGTGCTTGAGTGGGAGGAATATGAATCAAGAAATTTCTGATTAATTCTAATATGTGACAAAAAGATGGACTTTTTTTTTTTGAAGGAATCCATCTCTATCTTAGGGTAATTTTTTTTTCTCCATTAAATGAATTATTTTTGGAATTTATACATGGATATCCTTGCAGGAAATAGAGAGTTCCCCTAGAAATCATGTTAATTTGTACTGGGAACATCAATGAAACTACATGAAGGGCTTAGATAAGAAGAAATATGAATTGAGTACTGCAGTAATGTTGTTGGCTTTTAATTTGGATGTTTGAGGTAGTATTGTTTCCTCTAATCAACATCTCTGATTTCTAAAATCAACAACTGTGTGCATTGGTGGAAGGCTATTATTAGTTTTATTTATTTGATTACTTGGACTGAGGTTTTTAAACTTTTTTTCAGCCAGTGGGTCTCAGAAGGTAGAGGTAGGTCCAGAGCGGTGCCTCACATCAAGACATATGCCCGTGTCTCACCTGATGGTTCTCAAGCTGCTTGGTTTATGGTCACCAGGTAAGCACAGTTAAACATAATATTCTTTTCACATATAGATTATGAAACTAGGTGACTTTTTGGCTTGGCTTTGGAAACAAGTCTTTAGTTGGAATCTTGTTGGACACAGCTTTTTTTTTTTTCTTTCATAAGAGATTTAAGATTGTTTCATTTGTCAATAATGTTTAACATTTAATGAAAGTTAAAGGATTTTGTCATTGTGTGTGTCTATTTGTTTTAATCATAAGCAAAAGAAACAGTTGAACTTACTTTCAAGACCTTAATCTCCATGTGATTTAAATTTATTCTTACCAACCTAACCTTTGTAAAGCCACCATATATTATCTGAATCTAGTTTGTAATAATTGTCCTATTTCCTTGTCAGTGCCAACCTCTCCAAAGCTGCGTGGGGTTCATTAGAGAAAGATAAAAGCCAGCTGATGATCAGATCTTATGAACTTGGTGTTCTGTTCTTGCCTCAGTGTTTTGTAAGTTTATTTCATTATATTGTAGTGATCTAGATTTCAGCTTTTTACTCCAAATTTTGATAATATTGAGATAGGGCTGGGCTTGCAGAAGGTGGCTTTGAGGCAATGGTGACAGAAGTGATAAGGCGCTTAACCCATTAGCTCTGATTTCTGGTTTAAAAATCCTTAACATCTTTGTTCTTAAAAAGGTTCAGACTATCTTTCTGAAAAGAATTTAACAATAGCTCCTGTTTCAGGTTTGAAAAATCCTTCCCATATCCTAAGCAAAGAAAAAATAGAGCAATATGTCTATTAAAAAATATATATTTTTAATATCTCAAAAATATTTTTAAAAGCTTAAAAAATACTTGATTTCCCAGGTGGGTCCTATACACTGGGGATATGGGCATGTTCATGTAAAAAAACTCCTAGAAAAAAAATTAGAAAGTGACACAGATCCAGTTCTCACTAAAAAAAAAAAAAAAGAGTCATTACACTCTTGTTCTCATTCTAAATGAGACTTGATGAGCCTTTCTTTTTGGAAAGTTTTAAAAAAAAAATTCTGCTAGCATCTATACACAACGTAACGCAGGTAGTAGCTTGTGTGTTAACCATTCAAAATTACATATCTCAAATTTGAATTTCGACGTAGACATATGTCCATCCTGCTCTAATGACTATGAGATAATTTTTTTTTTGGAAATTATTGACTGTTATGTTTCTTCAACTTCCACACATCAGTCCAATCCAATAACTACTTCATAATTTTAACCAAATTATAACAAACAGTTATCAAAACACTCACATCTTGAATTCATACATTGTATTAGCTTAATGTTTCTCAAATTTAACAAAAATTTAATAGCCTGCCAAAATATTTCTTTTTAGTATTTTGGCTCTCTCCTAAAAAAGTCTGCCCAACACAGGTGTAGAACTACATCGTAAGTGTGTATATGTGAATTTTCAGGGCTGTAAAAATGCATTTAATGTAAGCAGTCGTCTAGAGGAAGTTGTCGGGACTAGTCCTGTTTTCCCACTACCTTATGATCTTCCAGCTCAGACTTACCAAAAGGGAGGTAAGTAAATGAAATGTTAAATATAGCAACTTGATAAAGGGTTAAACATAGGGAGGGAAGGGGGTGAATAAACTTATTATTATTATATGATAAGCAACAAATATATTATGAAATGCAAATTGGGAAAGAAAAGTGTGTTCATGAAAGTCAAGAGATGATTCATTGTTTTGAAAGATTTACTACAGAAAGTTAATCATCATCATCAAACTCCGTTAGAGTGATGGCTTGAGAGGCTCAAATCCTCTTTTGCAAAAGCCCTGGACAGAAGCCCTGCTGTCTTGCGTAGTGCATAAATGTCGCCATACAGGTCGAGAATTTTGGGTTTCCCAGACCTGTCGAGACGGAGATCAGCAAGTCTGGGGCAGTCAAACAGAATATGAGGCACGGTTTCCTCTTCTTCCCCGCAGCGAGGGCACCATGAATTAAAATTTGTCCATAGCCGCGAGAAATATGAGCCAACAGGACAGTGGCCTGTCCTGCACTGTGCTATAATAGCTTGCTCAGGCCTGAACAGCCTCCACCACGGGGAAGTGCGGTCAGGGCACCTCATGCGCTCCCAGACTCCACAGGCTTTTTGGGACTTGTCCCAGCACTCAAACCACTTTTCCATTTCTGTTTTTTGTATTATAGCCAGTGCTTGATGAAAGCTTACAGCCTGATCAGTGGGTGGAATTTGCCCTCCCTGGTGGGCCAAAGAGTCTGCAATTGTGTTGCCAGTCACACCTATGTGACTCGGTACCCACTGCATTATTACAGGGGTACCATAGCGTTGTTTAATGTTATGTGAAGCCATGATGACAGTGTTGATATTGGGGGGCCATGGTCCTGGGCTTTGCAAAGCCTGTAGTACAGATTTTGAGTCAGTGACCACAACAATCTGTGTTGCCCTCAAATGTCCCTCGCAGAGTTGAGAGTCAATGACTTTTAAGGCTTCACAGACTGCCATGGTCTCCGCATCAAAACTGCAAACACTACCACATGGTCCAAAGATTTTGACTGTGTAAGAGCCAAGAAAGTCGATGTAGGCTCCATAGCCTGCAGAAAGTTAATAGAATATGTAGATATAGTTTAGACAAATACCAACTCAAGAACACATTAAGAATCACAGAAAGTTGAACTTTGAAATTATAAGTCTCATTGTAGACTCTATGTATGTTAAAGTTTATAGAATATTTAGATCTAGTTTAGATAAATACTAACTATAGAACACAAGTGTAGAATCCTTCTTGTTTTCACCTTTGAAAGTTTAATCACAGTCTGATGTTGGGTCCAAGTCCACTGGAAATAAACAGGTCTTTCTTTACACTATGCAGTCTCAAGCTTCTGTTGTCCGTTAAATCTGTCTCCTAGCTAGTGCGCTTTAAGTTTTTAACCTACTGTCATGTCACTAAAGAAATTATCAACTATCGCTAACTTCTACACACTAGCCTATTGAATCAGTACATTTTATAAACCATAATGGTCCTTTATATTATTCAGAGAACATATGGAAAAAAAGGTTGAACCCAATAGAACTGATCCTCTGCAGTTTGATTATGCTGTATTAGTAGAAGTTTTGAAAACTCAAATAGTCAGATGTGGTTTGTAGATCATATATTAAAATTGGCTTAAATCATGCTAATGTAATGGGTATTTCACTAACAAATTTCTTTGCATTATGTTTCAGATCGCCCCTGGCTTATTGATGTTCCTTGTATGGATAAACCCGACACTTTTGGAACAATGTGGTGTCCGCCATTGTAGCAACAAAGTCATCAAAGTCATTTCTCAAAACATGTAGAAATCATGTGACCAACTTGAAAATGTCATTTCTATTTTTATCCAGCTGTTAATGTTTAACTAAAACATCAATTCATGTATTACAAGAAACATTTATCTTTGTTTTTGGTGATCAAATTTACTTTTACTAGAGTGGTACAGGGAAGGGGGGGGGGGGGTTTGAGGGTGTGTGAGATGAACAATGTGTTGGATACATTTTTAATGTATATGTAATGTAAATAACCATGCGTCTAGTGTTAGAACAATTATCTCCCTCAAAAAGGAATCAAAAAAATTAAATTTAGGTGTCCTATTTGTCAACTACAAAACAAACTTCTGTTGTAAATACAAAAATTACAGATTCTTATGACACATTGTACATCTGTTTTGTTTACTTTGGCAATATCCATTTATTTGTTTTGTCTGATGCTGGACTGTCTTTACACACTCCTTCCTAGCAGTAGTAAGACAGTAAACTACCCCTTTCAGACCTTGTCACTTATAGGTCAAATAATGTAATGGTCATTTGTTTCACTGGTGTCATGTAGCCAACACAACCAACTAATGCCAAGTACCTATTACAGTTGGGTGGACTCCAGGGTGTCCTAAAAATCCCAAAATAAAAATTGCCACCTTTTACCAAGATTTGAGCCCAAGACCACTTGGTTCAAAAGCCAAGTTCTTTACCACTCTGCCACCACGGTCCTGACCTAGTGGTACTGGGTGGACTGATCTCCTTAGACCTAAGTATAAGGTCCCATTCTCAAGTAATGTCTAGGGTACGACATGGCCTGAAGTTGGCTAATGTACCAAAAATGAAAAAAATCCAAACCTAAGTAATGTAGCACAAGACATTCTACTTTTTAATACATGCATGAAGTTTTCTATCTTTTAGTTGGCCACTTGACCGTAAGAAAAAAACAAACAATCAAACTTATTTATGTTTAACATTTGTCAAACTGTTTGGTTCAACAGTTAGGTGTGATTTGACTCTATGAGAACTCAAGATAAATTTCATAGCAATAAAATATTTAGTACTTAGAGATAAAAAAAACAACAAATTCTAGGACTGGACTTGTTTATTTTTTGTTGCGCATTGTCTTTCACTACTTCTAAATGAAATGAATGTTTTTGCCCCTATTATGTTCATATTACAAATGATTGAACAACAATAAACACTGAGACTCCACACATAGTAATAGATGAACTGGTTTAAGTTTGTGTGTGTGTGCTGTTTGTTATGTTTAGACCTGAAACAATAAACTAGATTTATTTTAACCTATAACAATGATAAGCTAACCTAAATAATTTAAATCTTTTGTTTTTTTGTGGTGTAAGTGGGACCTGTCAGTTCAAATGTTGCCGGGTTGGTAGCAAAAATCTCTGTCAAAGCTATTAAGGCTAGACTTCCAGTCAGAAGATTTAGGAATGCAGTATTTCCCGTGATTACGCAGCCCCAGCTGTGACCTACATATTATACCACATATCCAGGGCAAGCATAACCATTGTCCGCTGGTGGTCGATTAAAATCTAATGTACATCTTTTTCAAATTAAAACGACCCAATACGATATTTCCCAGATTTTGTGTGTATAAATATGTGTAGATCTTCAAATCTGGTTCTTTTTTCTCTAACATAAGGTCAGTGGATTATTACATTGTTATTACATTGCATTTCTAAACGACTCCCGTATGGCCAATTAAGGGAAGGAAAGCGCCCTCAAGGCGGACAAAGAAAACGTTTTAGGGACACCCTCAAAGCTTCTATGAAAGCCTTCAGCATAGACCCAGACACTTGGGAGACAGAGGCATCATGGCGTCGTGCTGTGAAAACTGGCGCACAGGTTGCTGAGGAAGAAAACAAGAAAAGTGCCAGAGAAGAAAAGCAAGGCCAGTGACACTAGCTCCAGGTGGAAAAACCTGCCCAGTGTGCAGCCGCACATTCCGGGCTCACATAGGTCTAACCAGTCACATAAGGAGGCACAAAACCCCAGTGCAAAGCCCTCAGCCCCCAGGATGACAAAAGTGGTCATCGTCGAACCACGATGGACGAACTATACATTGTTTTGTGCTACAAGAAGTTTATACATCTAATTATGAGCATTTAGATGATTCCTTCTTTTGTGGCGCTGCTGTGAAAACGTCCATAAATGAAGGAACTAACTCTGCGTTGAACTGATAAAACTGAGAGCTCGGAACAAGCTGCCAGTACCATTAGGCCCATATTTTTTGTTAAGATATGATCACAACTTTGGTATGATTAGTAAATTAATCATACTTCTCTAATTAAAAAAAAAATTCCAGAATAGTTATGAAATCTAAGCGTTGTTTCTTATAATTATGGTGGATTTCTTCATGAATATTTGAAGGTTATGTTCATCTTGTGTGCTAGTGTATTCATTTTGTAAGGAAAAGATTTCCCGGGCATGCTACCCTGCCTCATAGTGGCGTCCGGGTGGAAACGATCGTAGGAGGAAACGATTAGGCTAAAGAGTAGCAAAACAAGACTCCCGTGGGCTGTGCCTTAGAGGGTGCGAGAGCATCCTCATTGCACTGTGCGGAGTTGTAAAAAAGCTCCCACAACATTGTCACAATCCAGGCGCTGTTTCTCGAGGGGCCATTGCATAAATGGCGTGTCCCGCACGGTTAGCTTGGTATAGAAAAGGAAAATTGCGGGGGTCTTAGTGAACGCGGCCTCTTGCCGCGAGTCTGACCCACCCGTCAGACAGAACAGTGTACACTGTTCTCATTCAGGCCGGTGAGAGGGAGCTCTTGGTCACTTTTGCTGGCTTAGAGTTCCAAGAGCTGAAGGCTCAACTCTACCTGACAGTTTCAAGAAGGAAAAGATTTAAAGAGGGGTTAAATTTCGCAAGGTTTTTCTCGTCATAAATGGTAAGGGTTTCAAGTGACCCTTTACCTATAAAATGATTGCGTCTCACATAGCCTTTGATAACCAGTCCAACACCTGGCCTTCACGTGTGGTTCAGATATTGGGTCCAGTGGAACTGTTATCACTAACAGGAGAAGGGGCAAAGGCGACGCCTAAAACAGAAGGCTTCGGGCAGGAGGGGCTTGTTATCATTGATTAGCTACACATTTAGGAGAAGGAAAACTGTATCCAAACCTCCACAGTTATACCCAAACACGCCATTTGGATGCAGATTGGCAAGACGTGGAGACAGTTGGAGAGACTCGCCCAGAACCGAGACGCCTGGAGGAAGCTGGTTGTTGACCTTTGCCCCATAAGTAACCTCAGGCAGAGCTAAGAGGAGAAGTAATGAAAATATTCAAGTACAAAATTACAAACAATATTATCGAAAACAGAATCTAGTTATAGATCTAAACATTCCGATGATCCGAGCTAATTTAAGGAATCAATGAGCTGGTATATCAAATAGGTAACAAAGCGCCCGATACAAAATTGGTAAGGTAACACTGCGTCTGTTAGTAAGACCACTGCGTTTATTAGCAAATGGTTAAGAATTACTGCTGCTGTAAGAACAAGTTTAGGAACCACTAAATTTGTTAGCGAATGGTGGGAACCAATGCGTGCTTTTTCAAATTGATATGGAACCACTGCGTATTTGTTAGCAAATGGTTAGGAGCAAAGCTTTTGTTACAAAATTGGTAAGGTACCTCTGCACCTGTTATCACATGGCTTGCTCTGACAAGTATTGATTCGCTTTCCTTTTGTCAAAGATTTTCGCTTTCTCTGATAACAAGTTTGCCCTGTTAAGGTCAAAACTTTCACTTTGTGTGTGTGTGTTTTGCGCGCCTATGACATAACGTCTGCTTTGTTCCTTGTGTTAATTTCGGAGTGGAGCTTAATCTCGCGTTGAGTGGCGCCATTTAATATGGTCTGTCGTCAGAGAACTGTCGCATAAATTAGATTTCTATATTTCTTCGTGTATGTACACACCGAGAGTTGAATTCAAGCAATACTTAATTTTAATAACACTTATGCGGTAGCGGGAGGTTTAACTCTTTCTCTCCTAACTGACGATACCAGCGTTGATTCCACCAGAATGTGGTAAATAACTACGGAGTAAAACGTTAAATATTGTGTGTGTGTTTGTGTATGTCTGGACGCAGGGCCGGATTTACGAGAATGCAGGCGTGGCTAACGCACAGGAGCCCCCTACAAAGGGGTGTAAAAAATAAATGTCCAAATTACGACGGGTCGGGCACTTTTCATTTATTGCTGAAAGCAATACAGACGATTAGAAAGACTAGCCTCGTAGAGCTAAAACCACACAGAAACCACAATGTGAGCCACATTGGGAAAGTTGACGGGCTATGTATCAAGATTAACGTTTTGCATTGTTCCGTTGAGATGACGATCTTGGATTCTATCACTGCTCACAGTTTTGTTTAAAAATTAATTTAATTTTTATTTTTTTTAGGAAGCTAGTCTGAAGATTTTTAAGAACGCTCACGTGACACGAAACGTTTCTGGATCCTATTATAATATTATGATCCTTTGAGATCAGGTCTAGAATTGTGTTAGCCTAAAAAAAATGTCTTGTATAGTCTATCTTCTAGAGTGACACTAGATCTAGTCGGCAGTGCACGCAGTCTCTTTCTTGGTATCACTTTCTTTTTAACATTACAAGATTATAACTTAAAAGAATGGCTTAAAGCAGTGGTCTCTGTTGGGGTTTGTGTTATTACCTTGGCTTGTCTGCCCGGGCACTCCTGGCAGTCTATCAACTCAGTAGATTGAGTAGGCCTACGTTAATTAAGCCAAACAAGTAATGCCCATGGGCTAACGTACATTATTTAGCAACAGGAAGTAGCGTAACATATGGTTAATGATATGATATGAATCATCTAGTCCATACACACCCATTAGAGCACAAAAAATATTATCAATATTACATATGAAGGACAATTTCAGGCAACAATGCATTATTTACTGGCTTAACATTAAGGCACACCTTAGTCACTATACCAGTAATACAATCGGGCTCACGCTGCCAAATACGGCCCAAACTCAACGACAAAGTATGGCCCGTACAAAGCCAACAGTCTACGTTCAGATCGAGCTTGACTACCACCAGGTCCCAAGCCTTATTCCTCAATACAGGGGAACAACAATGGAAAAGCTTCAACAGAGACTACCAAAGTGAAATCACAAGGAGCAATGATGTTTACAGAGCGCGTCTTTGGAAACTGAAATAATGTGTTGCATAAAAGAAAACTATAGAACAAAGAACCAACTCAATGATAAGTCCACAGTTATACACATTCCACCTTTTAGGAATGAGCACAATATCTAGTAGCCTGTTTCAGACTGTCCATGAAATCTTAGTAGCACAACTCTATAAATATCACGCATTAATTGACCTCAATCCGAATGACATTAATGATTCCTTTACTGGAGAGTGTACAAGCCAAATAAAGCTCTGCTTACACTAGCTCTAGCGAAATTCTGTCAAGGTATCTCGGTAGATCTTGTCAGGGGATCTTGGGATATCGTGTTACCAATTAACATAATTTTACATACTTACAGCCCATGAAGAAGACAGTCACACAGAGGCCTGACATATATATTATGACACGACGTCATTGAAATCACGAATGCCATCTTAAAATGTGTACCAAACAAAGACTAGATATATTGACATAACATTCCGACGAATAAACAAAATAAATAGAGAGAACGGACTCGAAGAGTCAATTATAATCACCATTTCAATATAAGTGTGTCTGTGTGCAAAATCGAGCCTTGAATTAATAACAAACGAATATTTACTTTAGATTAGAGAAACACAATTACCATAAAAGAATTTCTTAATTTAAGAGACTCTTTGGAATAGAAGACTAAAAGTAAAGTACTAATAATAACAAATACAAATTACAAATTTTAAACAAGCAATATAAAACAAGAATACTTTTTAAACAAAAGCTATATCTAAAAGGAAATAAGTATTGCCATTTATCTTAAAATTACAGGGTTTAGCTTCCTATCTGTTATATAAAACAAAATTAATTAAGTAGTACTAAATTATTATCTAACTAGTTAATTTATGGATTGATTCTTATATAGTTATCGACTAAGAAAAATTGTGCACAATTTAAACTTGATCCGAGAATGGTGAGTGGTAGAAAAAAACATATTAAAGGGAAATAAATCAATGAATCAAAATAGATGGAGATATGTATATAGATGGAGAGAGACAAGTACCAAGAATGTTATGAACAGAGAACAAACATGGGCCTCAGCTCTGGAAGTTATTGTATCAGAATGGGCCCCAGCTCTGGAAGT